TAATAGTCCCACTATCTTTTATTTCAACAACTTATGTTGCAAAAATAAGGCAATTAAAGCAAAATAATTTAAAGAAAACATAACATGTCCTACCATTTCTGCATGACCAAGATATACATAGATAGCACCACCGCGATTTCTGCTATAGAAATATGGTGCTCCAACAATAAGATCATCATATCTGAAATCAGAATATTTTTATGCGTTTCTTATCATCTGTATTTCGACTTTACAGGCAGATATAAGCACAGCTTCAACCACAATGACCTCTTTAAAATTTCTAAAATTATATTTAACCCTTTTAAAGAAGCTATTAAAAAAATGTTCATTAATGGAAAATATTAGGGAGCCGCATGGTGTAGCAGCTAAATGCTAAACTGTGGATCTTAAGGTTGTGGGTTAGAGTGCCGATGCAGATGGACTTTTTTCAGAAATTAAGTTGTCAAATGTATGTAAAGTTAGCCCTCATATATAATGCAGATACTTGGACAAAAACAAGAAATCATAAGCTCAAACTGAGTGGGTATGCAGGAGAATAGGTGGTATATCAAGGAAACCAAAAACAATCAAATACACAGGTTTTAGAGAGCGGAGAATTAAAAAGAAGACTGTTGAAAGAAATATAAAAGGTGAGTGAAAATACTTACCAGTACACACCATATAAAGGGGGAAAGTTAAAGGCAAGTAAGTGAAAAGTAGGCTGTATACAAATGAAAGGAAACAACAAGAGATGCAGCAGCAAACAAAAACTGTGGAGACAGCAACTGACTGACTGGATAAAAAATAGCAAATCAAATAGTTTGCCATTCAGAGAGAATGCCCTGTAATGCCATACCATTCAAGGTATATAATAAAAGAGGAAAAGCAGGTATAGCAAAAGGCAAACCGAGAACAAGATGGAAAGATAACATTAAAGAAACTAACAGCACAGTGCATCTATGGTCGACGTGGCGAGAAGAGCAAGAAGCAGAAATTTAAATCTCCCTCGACATCAGCCATCTTTACTTCCCAAACCAGATTAACCTTGGAGCCAGGTCAAATTAAACACACATGAATACCAGGCCAGTGGGCAAGCATATTACCACTGCTCAAGGGTGTCCCTAAAGTCTGGACACATTGGTAAACACAATTTTAAGGAATACATTTTTTATAACAACATTTTATTCGCTTGGAATATTAAATAACTTATCTGCAATACCATTTCCATCATTTACAAACAAAGGTTGATGTACTTTGTAAAAATTCATGTGAACTTGATGTAATAAATCCACATTTCCATCAATATGCTATGGGAAGTAAGGATGTCAGTCTCACACACTGCGTGAGGTGGATTCTAGTCCTCATCAAGATAATGGCTTTATATTATACTGCAAGCTAAATAAAAAATCCTGGCCTGAGCAATAATAGCTGTTTCAAATGTTTTTCTGGCAGACATTGATAAATGGTAAAATGAATCAGATTCTGCTAACTGAGCTTCTTCTTCTTCTTCTTTCGTTCGCCTGAAATAAGTTGTCTATATCAGCAGTTTTGTCTCTTGTATAAATTTCACTGTCATTGTTAGTTCATTCAGTGGTTCATAGAGTTTACGTTCCACTGTTGTTCTTTGTCGCCAAAAGGTTTGCCTTAATCTGTCAAATTCGGTGCAGTCCTGGAGTACATACTCTGCTGTCTGGGGCACCTTTCCACAGGTGCACATGGCTGATACACCTATCTTGAATTTTGTGTACATGTGGTTACGTAATCAGTTGTGCCCTGTTCTGAGGCGGAGGATGACTTGTTCTGGTCTGTCCATAATAAAATAGTAGTCTTGTGCTGGGGTTGGTGGTTTCCTGATCAATTTAATGATTCTTTTCCTTTGGTGGTATGTGACTGGTACATCCGGCTGCACTTTTGTCGCACCTTTCCCTGCCAGTTGATCAGCTTTCTCATTTCCAGGCACTTCACAATGAGATGGCATCCACTGCATTACGATTCTTCGCTGAATGCTGAGTTGTATCAGCAGTCTTTGCAATTCTGGTAGTTTCCTAGACTGGAGTACTTTAAGTACGGATTTAGCATCTGTCAGCATTACCACATACTGTGAGCCAAGATTGGTATTTAGCAGTTTCTCTGTTGCTATCTTGATAGCTTGAGTTTCTGCATCATAGTTATGACTGTACTTCCAGGCTGGACTTATCCCTAGTACCATCTGGGAATTCTATGTACACTCCAGCACCATCATTTCTAACTGCACTTTGTGCGGACCCATCTGTATAGACTCTGACTCATTGATCTTGTGGGTATTCTTCATCAAAATAATTGAGCTATTCCATTAGAAAATGTTACAATTAAATAAATGTGCATCACAGGGTAATCACAATAATTCTGCAGCAATTCAGACTAACGTACTCATACTCACCAAAGCAAGAATAAATACAATGGAAAAATTCAGAGAAAATGCCAAGGAGACTGAGAAAATGAGAATAAAATATTCACCCATCATTATTCAGATCAACGGTCTCCAGACTTGATCCAAAACCTGAGAACGCCAATGGACCACGGATAATTTGTGTTTTTTCGTATCGCAACACTCCTGTCGGCATTTGCTTGAAAAATATAACTTCTCCTTTGTTATGGGATTTGGGAGCTCCAGAAACATAATACAGAGCCTTTGAGCTGTCATATTTTCCAACAGTGACAGCATAACCTAAAAAAGTAATATAACATTGAATAAGTTTCTACACACAAACTACAAGTACCCTAAAGTCTGGACAATGTCAAAAATACATATTTTTACAAATGAAATTAATTAACAACATTATTTAACTTGTTTTGAAAAAATCCAGATTTGTCGCAACAAATTTCCCTTCAGATTTCATAACTTCTGATCTTATCTCTGCTTGCTCTTCTTGTTATATTAAGAGCCTTTCGCGGTAATGTCCTTTCTGTTGTAATTTTTATTTTATCTTTTTTCTGTGATTGTCCGGGTATTGTCCAGGTCTGGCACTGATAGCACAGGATTGGCACGAAGATTGTGCCATAGAGTGCTCTCTTGGTTTTTACTGACACATTTGTTTTTTAGCACTAGTGCCACTTGCCCAATGATTTGGTTTGCTCTGTTACGTCTGTCATCAATCTTGTCTTCTGAAATGCCAGCTAATAATATTATGCTTCCTAAGTATTTAAAGATCTTGATTTGTTTCAGAGCTGGATATTTACTGTTTTGTCTACCATGGCTAGGGTCATGACCTCTGTTTTCCTGGCGGTAATATTCATGTTATCCTCATTACACACTTAGTCTATATCATTTATATGGTTTCGCAGTTCTATTACTGAAAGAGGCAATTTGTGCTTGCTCGTCCATAAATAGTAATTCTTTAATAAAACTTGTTAGCTCTGGTTCTTCTCCTTCCTTGGTGTATTACAGTCCTTGTCTGGTTGGTCTCGTTATGGATGTTATAAATGTAAGTTATAAAAAGCAGGGGAGACAGGACAGAGCCTTGCTACACTCACGATTTTGATTTTACGGTGAATGGTTCTTAGTGGTGTCCTCCATCTGTTCTAACAGTATATTCACTAATATTAAACGATCATCTACAATGAAAACGTTGATGCACTTTGTAACATTTGTGTAAATGCAATGTAATAAATCCACATTGCCCTCAGTTTTAGCACATTCACTTTATGTGTCTAGACTTTAGGGAGTACTGATATAATATTATAAAGATAAAACTGTAGACACACTAGAAAACATGCCAGTTCATAAAAATGTATGAACAGCACAATAAATAATTAATTACCATAAACTGCAAACAGTGGTGAATTTCATGTAACAGAAATAATTTTTAAAACTGTAACTCATTCAAAGTCTCCTCCTTTCCCCATCACCTGCACACAAAGGCGCGCGCGCGCACACACACACAAAGCTAAAACTATATTTACAATTCTGCAAAACTAAAGAGAAGAGTGTCGTATTTGCATGTGCGATACGTTGGAATTACGAATCAGACTAGCAACACCTAAGCCATGGAGGCCGCTCCATTACACACATACAAAGCATTTGTATCATATATATGGTGAAGAGAAAATGCCTGCATTGTGAGAGAAATAAAATGCTGACAAACCATTGTAAGAATAAGCTCCAGTTGGTGTTGCCTGCGTGTTGCCTGTTGCCAGCTTTGGGTCTGTGTAAGGACTCACCATTTCTATCTGAGACACACCTAGCTGGTCTGTGACATTAGTTGCAAATATAACCCCTGAGAAAAAGAAAAAAATGTACAGCATTGAGTATTTCACTACGCGGTTTAGGATTATATTTGATCAAAATTAGTATTTATTTGTGTAATTATAACTAAAATAAGAAACAATCACAACAATTTTAATAAAGAATGAATTAAAAAAAATTATATTTAAAATTATACTGTGTATCAAACAAATAACTACCCACAAACATCCACCAAGCTGTCTGCCTATTTATATACACCCAGACACATAAAAATTATATACACACATCCACCAACAATTCTGAAATAACGCTAACAACTGTGAATTAACTAGTAAAGGACCCTTTCAAAGGCCTTTAGGTATATAGGGCTAGACCTATATTTTACAGACTAATTGGCACAAGATGGGTGATGTTGTCAGCATCACGCCGACCCCCTTTACTTCCCTGGACTGCACCCAGTACCCACTCAAGGCAGGGTCGACCTGGAAGCCAAGATCATTTTAAACAACAGTCTGGCTCCGCCAAAGGTTACGATTCGCGGCGAGCATCTAGCTGCCCCACCACGGCGACTTCCTGTGAACTGGACTACACAGCATTAATTAAAAATGTTAGCATTTAAAATTTTTCTTCTCTTTCAAATCTTCATTCCAACAAATACAAGAGACAGATCACGATATGTCCTGGCAAGATTACCGCATCCTCTGTGCCCAGTCAACTTCTATTACCAAGTCCTGCTGCCATTTATTTCTTTTACTCTCACAAATTTCTTTCAGTATATGCATTCTTTCCAACTAACCTTGCCATAAAACGGAGCCTGGTGCGCCCATGACAAAAGCATCATCCTGAGGATATAGGGCACATTTACAATCTGCTATATGTTCACAGTATCGCCAATGAGTGATTTCACAAGCATCAATTAAAAAAATATATAAAATTTCAAGCGGATTTGTTTAAGTCCAACATGAACTCATATCAAGGCTCGCTATCGTTAATGTCTTCATTATTTAAGAGCATGCAAAATTGTATATTCTTCAAAATGTGATTAATGCTGTGATAACTGAATGTGTACTGAAAAGAGAAGGAATGCTAGCAAATGCACCTTATGCTAAGGCAAAGATGCATGCATTGGCTTGGATATGTCTCTTGCATGGAGGTCATTTACATTTCAAAGGATCTCCTGTATACACTGGTAACAGGTACAAGATCTACAAGAAGATCAATGCTACGCTTCAAGGACATATGCAAAGATGAATGATATCGACATCAACACAGAAACTTAGGAGAGATCAGCTGCGGACCGACTTATTTGGCGGCAGACAATGAAGGACAGACTGTTGCAGTTTGAAAGAAGCAATTCAGCAAGCTATAGAGAGGAGACGTCTGAGAGAAAACCAGCCTCAGAATGTTAGAGTATCAACTTTTTTTATGTGGACTATAAGGCAGAAACTGCCACTACTGCATTGGACTTAACCTTCATAGCAGACGCTGTTCCCAAAACCAGGGCCACAACTCCATGGTCCCCAGGGACTGACAAATACCTACATTAATTTTTAATGCTTTAATACTGTCAAATGAGCAAATTCTTCTTCTACTTGGAGCAGCTGTTACGTTGTGGCTGGCAAATTACAGGCCAGCCTAGTAATCTTCTTATTTTTCATGCTGTGTAATGTTGATAGTCATGTCTATCTATAATCTTCTGTCCTGTGTACTTTCAATACATTTTAACACAGATGATCCTCCATGATATGATATCAAACTGTGCAGCACCTTCTCTGTCTCTTCTCAGCAACTTTCCCACTGTCACAAGGTACTCTAGTTTTCTTGTGATATTACTTAAGAATGTGGATTGTCTCCTTCTGATGTGGGTATCTTAAAATGATCAACAAATTCAACTGTCTAATACTGTCTGTATAACCAAGCCACCTGTTTAGTTAAAAGCTCAAATGTTTTTTCAGATAATGTAAATCTTCTTCAATGTTCGTCCTTTAATAAGGTTGTTGGCATATTGTACTGTGGTTTACAGCTAAGCTGTGATATCTGCACCTATCAGCCTAACACATCTGATTTCAGCAAAGTCTGAATTAGAGTTGAGTAAAGGAGTGAAATCACAGCACTCGGGGCATTCCCATGTGTGCTCTGTCCTCATCTTCAGCAGCCAGCACAGAATTCCAATACTAATGGTACTGGTAGTAATCTGGTTATATGTCGTCTTGCCTTTTCCCCCGAGTGTAGTGAGCCAGCCAAACCCTCTAGTTATACCCAGGTGCCTCATTATCTTCAGGCCATCATACTCTTGCTTCGCTTCTGACTCCATTGCTTGTTCCAAAAGGGCCCTGACCATATCTGCTTTGTCATGCATCAATTCACCACCCAGTGGTGCAGATCCAGCTAATCTGTCTGCCTTTCCATTCCCCACCATGCCAACACCGCCTTGAGAAAAGATTCAAAGTATGCTCACCACCCATGACCTTCCCAGTGAAGTTTGCCACTCTGCTCCTAGCATCCCTGTCTTCACCTTTCTCAGCATGCTTTCAGAGTCTGTTAGAATTATGGCATGTGTATGCATCTTGTTCTCTAGCCACCGGAAAGCTGCAGTTACCGCCTCCACCTCCATTCTCATGCTAGACATGGTGGTTTCGTATTCTAGGCTGTCCTGCACTAAAGATTTTCCATTGGCTTTCGCTATAAACCCCAAGGCACTTCTCTTCCCTCTCAAAACTAATTAATTACCTTTTACTATAAGCTTGTTAAGTGGCAATCAGTATATTCTTGTTTCCTCCTAAAAAGAGTCTCAAGAACCCACACCATGGGACGACAACTTAAATAAATTATGAAGAAAAAAATCACAGGTTAACATTACCTGACCAATCACTGCTGACAAGCCTGCTTGACACAGCCCAAAATCTTGCAAATAATGTCTATGAGACAATCTATTACATGGAATAAATATGCTATCGAAGTCCAATGTTTGCATAAAAGTATAACAGATACCAAGTGCTGCATTGTTTTTCACGTATCGATGGGCGCACGCCTGTATAGGGAAAATAAATGTAAAATAAATTTGAAACAAACAATAAAAACATACCCAGACATGCAATGTCATGGGTTACATTACCTGCCCGATGCTTGCTGACATACCCGCCTGACAGAGCCCAAAGTCCTGCAGGAACTGGACATGGGGCATTGTTTCACATGGGTCGAAATTGCATGCCATCATCTGCCAACTCCTGGGTTAAGACAAAACATCTTCCCAAGGCTGCATTGTCCTTGATGTAGCGATGAGCACATGCCTAGACAAGACATTGACCATCAGTTGTTTCTCACAAAATTCTCATAGCTACGAAGCCATCGCTTTCATCTGTTAAACTACACAACTTCTTGGACACACAGTAACTACTCCAACAAAAGCTGACAATGGCACAGCAAGAAAACTCATGTTTAAAATGATGCACAGAAAGGAACATGCATGTCAAATAAGAACATGCAGCGTGAATTCACACTTCATTTAAATCCTTTTGAGAAATTCTGCCCTTTAATTTATTTTTAAAAAAGTCAAAAGTATATTTATATGTTAATTTTAGACAGTTCCCCAATAAGGCTTTCTGAAAAATTATATTCTGTATGTGAAGAAAAAAACTATAAAAAACAAAAAGGGGCTAAAAAGAAAAACCGTTTTAAACTGTATCATAATAAAGTGAAGGACACTGTTCAGGTGAATTAGGCATTTAGTGCTAGATCTGTATTTTATAGACCCAGTGATACTCCGCGGGTGGTGTAGATAACATCCTGCTGGCCGCCTTTACATACCAGAACTTTACCTGGTACCAATTTAAGGGGAGGTCAACATGGGAGGCTAAGTCATTTCAAAAAGCCCCCGTGTGGGTTCCGGGGCCCCATTGTGGGGAAAACAAGAATAGACCCACTGCCTCCCCAAAAGCATGTCGTAAGAGTCGACTAATTGGGGAGCTTCCTTTGAAGTCGGAGTGCATCTGCCGGAGAGGCAGAACATGGCTTGCAATGGCGACACTGACAACATTAACACAGCAACAAAATAACTATGAAAATTAACTGAGAAAATGGCCTATGACCAAAGCACACTCGTGCACGCACACACGCTCACAGAAATATAATAAACTTAAAGACCAGCAACTAAAGTCAGAAATATTTCAAATATACTGATGAAAATTCCACAAGATGAAAATTCATCACCAGAAAGTGACCAAAATCACTGAACAAAAACAAAACAAACAAAAAACAGCTGACATAAAAAGAGAATTGCTCGAAGGTGTGAACTTTGCATTAGCATTACATTACATTACAAATCTAGATGGTTTAGCTATGCGACAAGATTACCTCAGTTTTTTATGAAAAAGTCAGGCAAAAAATGGATGAAGAAATAAAACTTTTCCAATATCAATGTCTGAGTCATAACTGTCTATTTTCTCCCTTAGTTTCAAACACATTTATGCCTATTGTATACACTGACTGCATTCTAATTCTGTTTTAGAGCATTCTAATTCTGTTTTAGAGCATTCTAATTCTGTTTTAGAGCATTCTAATTCTGTTTTAGAGCATTCTAATTCTGTTTTAGAGCATTCTAATTCTGTTTTAGTATTCAGTTCTTGAGCTCAGCTGCACCATTATACAGATTCTTATGATTACTGCAGTTAACAAAGGATAGCAAGATTCCCACATCCTACATATTTTAAATTGTTCAGAAACTTTTTCATCCACCAACTGTGCATTATGTGTCCCTCACAAACCTTTATTGTCTATAACTTCTTATCTCCCAGTATTTTTTACTGTCTTACGTATCAATTCCTTCCCCCCCCCCCCCCCCCCTCCCCCTAATTGGTTTACATACATTCCTTAACTTTTGTGTGTGGTAGCTTCTTTTCTGCATCTTTAATTAACAATGATAAAATTGCCCCTTTTTTTTTTTTTTCATTTGTGTTAACAATCTGTAGCTCCATAAAGCTTGGTTTTGTTGACTCATTTGGTGAGTATTCCTTTTATTCACTGACAACAACAGCAGTGGTATAGTACTAGAGAGAGAGAGCGAGAGAGAGAGCTTGAGAGTGAGAGAGCAAGAGAGAGTGAGAGAGAGAGAGAGTGAGAGAGCGAGAGAGAGTAAGAGAGAGAGAGAGCAAGAGAGAAAGAGCAGGAGAGAGAGAGAGAGAGAGAAGAGAGAGCAAGAGCACAATAGAGCGTGAGAGAGAGTGCACGCAAGAGCGAGAGTGAGAAAGAGAGCGGGAGAGAAAGAGAGCGAGTGAGAGAGAGAGTGAGTGAGAGAGAGCGAGAGAGAGCAAGAGAGAGAGAGAGCGAGAAAGCGAGTGAGAGAGAGTGAGAGAGAGCGTGAGTGAGCGCAAGAGCACATGAGACAGCATGCAAGAGACGTACGAGAGAGCATGCGAGAGTGAGCGAGCGATAGCGAGCGCAAGAGCAAGAGCATGAGAGAGAGAGTGAGAGAGTGTGAGAGAGAGAGAGTGTGCGAGAGCAAGAGCAAGAGAGAGAGTGAGAGCGAGAGAGCAAGAGAGAGAGTGAGAGAGAGCAAGGGAGAGAGAGCATGAGAGAGTGTGAGAAAGCATGAGAGAGCGTGAAAGCGTGTGAGAGAGTGCGTGCAAGAGCGAGAGAGAGAGAGAGAGGGAGGGAGAGAGAGGGAGCAAGAGAGAGAGAGTGAGAGGGAGAGAGCAAGAGAGAGAAAGTGTGAGAGCACATGAGAGCGTGAGAGAGAGCAAGAGAGTGAGAGCACGAGCGTGAACGAGCGAGAGAGAAAGAGAGAGAGAGAGAATGGTCATGCCTTTGCCTCTACTTTTTTGTGTGTGTATCCCATCCAGTTTCCTGCTGGAGGTTTAAACGCAAACCTTTTATTTAGTAGCTAATAAATTGTTATTTAACTATACTCCTCCTTTTAACATGTTCTTTTTTTTTCATTAATTTGTAATATTAATAATGCTATTCAAATAGAATATAATATGAAAGACAATATATAGATTTGTTATAAATTTCAAATTGACCTATCAAATGAAAACCTTTTTTTTTAACACTAAGTGGATCAGAAAAGATCTAAAAATGAATATTAAATGCCCTTATAAACCAAGTAATGAACAGAGTAGATTCACTCCCATAGAAAATCAGGACAGTAAATCTGCTGAAAAGAAGACCCAAAAAATAAATGGAGAAGGAAAGGGTGAAGTTAAAAAGTAAGAACATTCTTAGTTTCTGAAAATTACTAATAATCAAGATATTGTGCGCAGAGCCATGAGATAGTTCAGGTTTGCCTCTTAATAACCTTTTCTTGGTAACCCCTTTATTGTTTATACATGAACATTTGACAAGTTTTTCTTTGTTATGAGTCATTTTCATTTTAAAGTTACAGTTAGTTGCTTCTACTTTACAGGGCATGGTAAACCAACCCCAGCATTTGTTCGCTGCCTTATGTTTTAGTAGACATTTTTACTTTTATTAAAAACTCACTGCTTTCCTTGTTAATTTTACTTGACTTCAACTCTTTCGGACCCAGGAAAATTTACTTAAAAATCTTGAAATTTTCATTAAATAATCATTTGAAAACTACTATACTAATGTTTTGTATAGATGTAAAGAGAACAAAAATTTTATTTGCGAAATCGGAATGTTTTGTGATATGTTCAAATGGAAAAATATATGTTTAATGCAGAGCCAACACATACGTGGAGTAACATGACCCTTTTCTCATAATCTGTTGTAATATTTTCTATGTTTTGCCTCAGAACTTGGATTAAAGTATTTTTTTTTAAAATATGTGATTCTCCTTCCTTTCATATGTCCCAGTGACAAAGTGCACTGTGCCTGTTTACAGCAAAGCTGCGATTTTTTGCATTTTGGTTGACACATCCAACTTCATCGAGCATATGCTGACCTGGTTAACTTCCCAAATTTTTATGTGATTCAGGAATTTACACAAGGAAGCTAGGTTCAGAACCATACGTCCAATGAATTAAAAAAGCCAAAACAACAGATAAAAACAACACTCACTACAACGGTTATCCAAAGAAAATGTAGGAAATTACATTTAATGTAACTTGAATTACAGAAGTTCACATTTAAGAAACCAAAGACATATATCCTTCTTTGTTGAAGAAATAAGATGCTAGTAATGTAAATTCAACATTCTTGTTACGAACTAAAAATGGGAAAAAAAAAAAATAACTCGATAACGTTTTAACGTCAAATTTGTGGACAAAAATGAGATTTCAAAATGTCGATTAGTCTATAAAAAACTACTCAGCTACCAATACAGCTTGAGAGGAGAAAAAAGTTCCTTTATGTTAAATATGCCTAGGTAAATTCTGCTGAGTGGCATGCTATTTTCACATCTCCCTGTGCTGGCTTACATAAGTGTATGTTTATGATCAAACAAAACTTTAGAAAAGATAAACTTATGAGACATGCATTTTCACAAACAGCCCAACATCCCTTCTGTGCATCAGTTTTTACAACTGTGTGTACCATACCTATAATATTTATCCCTATTATGTGCTGGTGTGCTTACAAAATGCTTAGATACTGTCAATGCTGTTTTTAAAACAAAATCATCATCATCATGTAACAGGTCCTCTGCAGAACTTGCTATTATCACAGTCTGCCTGAAAGGAAGTCGGTCTCTAGCCAATCTCCAACCTCGTGCACTTTCCTACCCAAGGCATCATATCTATGCCCTTCTTACTGCTGATAATCTTTTTTTTCTTCATGTTCACTGGCTGTAAACTCCAGCAGAAAGTTCTGGCTGTCTGTCCACTTTCTGGACTCTAGTTCGGCTTTGAAACCTGAATGCTGTGTGCATGTCCATTTTACAAATTGGATTTATGTGTATGCAGACTATTGGTTCCATTCCTCTCAGGCAGATGTGCTCCAACTTCAAATGAGTTCCCAATAAGTCGGCTCTCATGATATGCTTTTGGGTATGCAGTGGGTCTATTCTTGTTTTCCACACAATGGGGCCCCAGACCCAACACACGGATTATTGCTGGTCAGACCCTGACCCTCTTT